TATATATATATATTTATAAATTAATCTGATATGATAGCGTTGATGGCAGCACTAAATATGTTTACAATACACAATAAAATATTTTGTATACATATTATATTTATACATTTGCATATGTACATTTGCATAATAACTCATATAACGCAATTGTGAGAGTTTATTTTTTGCTTTCTTTGGCTTGCTTCTCGATATTCACATGGAAAATTGTATACCAAGAACAAAAACTCTCTAAGCGTTTGACTTTTGTCAACGAAACACACGTACGCAGAGTGCAGCTAGATTTGTGTGTGCTTTATATTTATAATGTAGACAATTTATTTTAATTTTTATTTTCTGTTAATATTCGACATTTAATATAAAAAAAAAAATACGAATTAACGAAATTAATAACATTTTATTTTATAAAGTTATAAAACAAGCTAAGAGAAAGATGCATTTAAGAGATTAATAGAAATAAATATACGCGAAAACTAATAAGAGATTTAACTCTCTCTAAAGGAAACCGAAAATGTCTAAACGATAATTCCGTTTTGTTCCCTACGACACCTCTATACGAACACATAAAATGAGCCGATAAAACTTGTCGAAAGTGAATCGATACCTACTCCGTGACATTAAAAGACCAAAGGTAAACGGTTATCTCGATTCTCCTTCGTCTCCCACCAAAACGAATGTAATTGTCGAAATGTATTTGTCAATTGGACAACACATGCCTTTACGTAATCTTGCATGCAGTAATTGAGTAATCCATGCGTTGACAATACATCAGGCTGATCGGCAAGATTAAAGAAAAATAAATAACAATATAAGTAATTGAAATCCGTGAGATGTTATTGATTAGCGAGGATAAGTGTGAGAGATGGATACATATTATTAATTAATATATATCATATTAATTTATATTTATGGTATGTCAGTAACTATTTTATTATTTTATGTAGAAATTGTACATGCGATTATCAAATTCGCAATCGATAAAATAGCAAACACAGATGGATGATACCTCTTTTCAAAGCAAAGATTAAAAGTTATGCGTAATGATGATACAGTGTCATTGCGCATATTATAAATATTTCAATCTGTTGCTATTTAGAAAATGAATTAAAATTAGATAAATAAAATCAACTTTTTCGAGTAAAAGCAATGCATTTTTTATGTATTATAAACTTGTATTTTTTTGCGTATATCGCAAACGTGCACTTCCATCTTGACTACTCTTGACATTCTCTCGCATATTGCTATATCTTTATATAAAAGTACGGAAATATCCGGATAGTTTCTTCTAAAATTTAATAACGTCATACGCGAGTTGACATGATTGTTACAAAAGAAGGATCGTCTTTATCGATTAACTTGTGAAATTTTTCGACGGGGGTGTTTAGCTACCCTAAAATGAACAAATTTATTGAACAAAAGGAGGAGAAAGAGAGAGAGAGAGTGAGAGACATGATTGATTCTTAATGAATTTGAAGTTTATAGGTGAATGTTTAGGAAACGGCGCTTGCCAAAGGCTCAAAGCAAGCGAGGCCGCTTCTCTGAAGCGATCAAATCGACATGTAGGTGTAAATATACGTGAAATGCTCTTTTACGAGTTCTACCATTAATCAAGTCGCAAAATAATTTTTAAAGGTCCTTTCCAGGGACATCGATGAATAGGCAAAAAATGCTCGATAAGAATAAATATGTAAATACATAAAAATAAGATAACGGTTATTGTTAATAACGTCGAATAACAATTTATAATATATAATGATATCTTTAGATATGTTAATCAATATATTACTATTATTATTATATTACTATTTTTCGCAATGAGTTAAACCTAAAATAAACAGATAAATAGATTAATAAGCGTGAAATAAAACAGTATGTTAAACGTTACCGGAAACTCATTGATTTCTAAGATTCGTAAGATTCAAAACTTTTGTACGTAATACTTGTTACAATTACACTAGCAGAGTCCTTAAATCTCTTATACATAGACAATTAGTAAAGAACTTTATTAATTAAATAAGATTATATAATCATATAATCCATGTAATTCTTGCAGAAGAGATATCTATTTGTAAAGAGAGTATGAAATATATATCATAAAATTTAATATACAGATTTATTGGTAAAATAGAAAATTCATTGTGTGTAAAATAATAAAATAATAAATTTGATCTAATTAAAAATTGCTATCACCTGTTAATCACTTACTGTAGATGAATCAGGTAGCGCTTTTTGCGACATATGTATAACAGGTTTATTTGTTGAGAAGCTGTTGTGTGTAGCGTATATACTCCCTTTGGCATCCGAGGCAGAAAAGGAGAGTAGTCTGACCACGCCTGGCCGTCATGGAGGACCTTGAAGAATCATCACGCGCGTCTCTACCCCCCATATTAATGTATGTCCGCGCAACAAAGCTCCATTGGTTGTCGACATCCGCGACTGAAGGAAGAAACGGAAAAAGAAGAAATCGAGGCCTAGCGCACGTTCGTTTTCTGCTTGAGACAAGGCGACGCCCTCTTCGAAGGTGCGTTAAGAAAACGCAAAAGAGAGAAGGGAGGTGGAGGCCGAGGGATTGCTTGCTCCTATATAAGACGAGATATGTCGTATTTTCGAGTATTATCGTACTGACTGCAAGCCAGACATATACGAGCTTCAAGATGTTCAAACTGGTAAGTCAATTAAGATTTCAGCGAGATTTATATTTATCTATCATATAGTATTATATATCCGTTTATTTATTAATTTTGCGATTATTTTGTTTGTTTCTCTATCGGGAAGATCGGGAAGATTATCGTTATAATTTCAGTTATTATACATATACTACACTGCAGACTGCAGGGTGCATCATGTGTGTTTAGTTGCAAGTCTTATTATATCTAATTGCATCTTATAGTGTCTCTTGGATTAACGATAAATAAGAGTCCGGCCAATATTGTCCTATTTTTAATTGTCCTGATGAAAAATGGCGGAATCAAGATATAGATAACGACTGAGCACGTGAAAAAATTGCAACAAATATGTGAAACGCCTTAGTGCACGTGTTAAATTTGTGTATGTTCACATACCCGTATTTGTTATTTTTTATCGATTACTAGAACATTGGCCGGACTACTACTTTCTAGAAAAATTATTTGCATTATATACTCATATATTTTCTTATTCGCATCATATTATTTTTCGATTGATAACTCGATCGAAATACGTACGTGAATTTTTCTATGGAAAATTCGATTTATTGCACAAATATAGAGTTCATATTATACATTTTTAATTCTTATTTGATACGAATTTTTCTTCATATATTTGCAATTTTTATGAAACTATTGCAAATTCATTTCCATCTCTGAGAAAAATACTTAAAATTAATTCTAAAATGAGAGTTATGAAAAATTGTATAACAAATGTAAGGTACGTCTCATCTCTCCTGTTAAAATGGCAACCTGGAGGATTGCTTTCATTTCCTGAGAGAGAAAGAGAGAGAGAGAGAGAGAGAGAGAGAGAGAGAGAGAGAGAGAGAGAATCAGTAAATGTACCTTTTATTATTATCATTCACACACACACACACACACACCCACACACACCCACACACACAGAGAGAGAGTGTCGTACCACTACTACTTGCAACAATATCATAAAGTTACTTGAATGTCATTGTTACTGATTACAGTTGTGCTTGTCGGCCTTTTTGGCATTCGCCGCGGCTGCACCCGCACCAGCGCCCGCGCCAGCACCGGCACCGGCACCCGGGGCGATTATCGGCGCTCCGCTTGTGACATCCTACAGTGCTCCCATCGTTTCCGCACCATTAGCTTACAACGCATACAGTCTACCGACTTATAGCGCGTACTCGGCATACCCGGCCTTACCGTACGCGTATAAAAGTTACGCGACTGGCCTAATTGTCTAAACATCGAAGGATCAAGCATTAAGGAGACCATTAAGGACCAATTTCCATCGACACACTTCACAAATCGATCGATCGATTCAATGATCAACGCCTACGAAATCTTTTCCAAAAATTAACCACGGATTTGTGTTTCTCCGCGGTTCATTCTCTTCATCCCTTTCTCATTCGTTCAAATAACTCCGCATTTACATTCCATTAGACCCAGAATCAATAAAGCCGCTTAAAAGCAATTGTACGAATGTTTTTTTACATCTCCATCACATCCTACTCCTACGATTTATTTAGGTTATTTTATATTTATATTGTATATAAAAAGGATCGTTTAATTGTGCACGGCAAGTCGAAATCCATCCACAATGATTCGAGATACATTTATTTATTATTATACAGATATATCAAAGAATCTTTGAATCTATATTATAATAGATAGAATATCTCAGAAATATCAAAATTATTCCAAGAATATTCTTCTTTGATCAATTCTTTGAATAAAATAAAATATTTTTAATTTTTAAAACGTAATGTGCGCGAAATAAGTATTTAGAAAATTACATAGTTTATTTTTTCATTCAATCGTGAATGCGAATTGACGCAATGCGCGACTTCAAATACATATGTACAATGCATACGTATCTCAAGAGAATCATCGATGACGTGCAAACCAACACATCATTACAGACATGTTAAATGTAGGTATATCAATGTGGTCTTTGAGAATGCCTCCTGGCGTGGGATGGAGTTGAATAGATTCGAATAAATCTATATCGAGTGTAACTTGCATAGAGAGAAAGAGAGAGAGAGAGAGAGAGAGAGAGAGAGAGAGAGAGAGAGAGTCATAAATATGATAAATTAATAATAATCGAGCTGAAAATTTTATTCGATATTTTAAAAGATGTAATTAAAATATGTATAATAATTAATAGATTCGTAAAGAATGATAATATAACATTGAAAGTAAAACATAAGAATTTATTATTAAAACATAATAATTTAATAATCTATTTTTCTCTCTTAATTGTCATCTCGTCTAACTATATTACCACCTATAAAATTATACAATTTATATATTACAAGATTTTTACACACATATAATAATATGTAATTAAATCACATGTAATATTATTTACATATTTGGCGAGCACTATATATAATAACACATATTAATGATTACAATTATATTCTTTACACGAAGGGACACTACATTCCAAGATATTCTCGCGTATCATACATGTATACGTGAACAGTTTCTTTGCAATCAATCTTTTTTGGCGATCGATGAAAATACACACACACACACACACACACACACATATATATATATACATTATGTACATTGGCTCTTTCTCGCGTTGAAAATAAAATCTTCCAGAGCTCAATATCATTTATCGAAATTTTTCGTATTGAAATTTTAAATTAACCGTAAGTAAAAGTATAAAGATTAATAGAAAATTAAATTAGTTGGTGTAAAAGATTTGAACAGTAATATTATTATAATTTTGCATTAACGTACAAAAAAACCTTTGTATTATTTAATTTCACATAAATTAATCAATTTATGTGACAAAAGGTTAATGAAAAACGCGATTAAGCGATTAAGATGTTATAATTTTTTGTGTAATTATTGTAACCGTTATGAAACAAAGTCATCTTTAGCGCGATATGCACCTGTCCTTACTCGTTAGTAGTAATCCGTTGCAAAAAGGCTGTTACGCGTCATGTTACTATGTTATAAATCTGATGATTACATAAGGATAATGCGTAGGAGTAATCACAACTCGAATAATCACTTCATTTATATTGTTCAACGAGCATTATTCTTCAGGCATATACCAACATATAAAGCTAATTAATAAAATTAATTACGTCAAAATCATCAAAACTATAACTGTATAATGATTTATATATCATTTACCTTAAAAGACGCTCTATATGACCATATGTTATGCGATCCGCTTGATGCTACAAATGCTTTCAAGTTTTTAATTGATCAATCAGAAGAAAGAATTTTACTAATTGACCAATCAAAGAATGTTTCGAAGCATTTGTAGGATTTGTAGGAAGTGGACCGCGCGTAGCCATAGTGTGGGGCACTGATGTATATACATTGAATTGTACATTAGTTAGAGAGACAAGAATTGATAAATTATAATTATTATTCTAATTATTATATACTGTAATAATATCGTTCACGTTTCCTCCGTGTTCGCAATTTCTCTACTCTTCCCTATGTAAAGTTTAGATGTTTATGTACAAAAAATGTATATGTCGCATATATTCATAAACTGCAGAATTAAAATAAACTATAGAAACTAAACATATAAATTTAGGCTATTTTTCTTATAAACGTTATCATGTACGTTGTTTAGCATTTTTTTTTAAACGTAAAAAAACGATTATTTGTTTATGTCAAGTTAAGTCATCTGAGACTTTTGTTATACTTTTGTTAATACTTGTTGTAATATAATATTAAAATCGATGTCACACGCATCGTCAGGGATTTGCTGAGCAATTCGTTACGTAACAAAGCGGAGTTTTAATAACTGGTTTTTATAATAAAGCAACGACCCAGTATCCAATTAACGATAAAGTGTGTTTTGTTATTGCTATTTGACAATCATGCAGAACAAAATCTATTAAAACGAGAATTTGATGACGATCGACAAAATCTATTAAAACGAGAATTTACATGCAAACATAAAAATTTTTCTTTTTTATTTTCAAAAACGCAATATTATACAATAGCATAAATTGTCGTGAATTATTTAAAAACAAGACAATAATGAATTACGTATAATTATCATTTTTATAGATAAATACATAAATATACTGTATATATAGTAGATTCTATTATATTTGCATTTTGTTACGTGTTGTTGTTTTAATTAATCTAAAGTATTACGCATAATTGTGTGCAGGTAATACTACATGCTATTCTTAGAACGTAACACTCTTTATGTAATTCCATGTCATCGCTAGTGAAAGCTCTCGAATCAAGATTTGAGTCATAACAATACATTACGTTATCACACACTATTATATCAGTATAACATAACAGCCACATGACAAATATGGCTGTGTTATTCATAAAATGTATTTTACAAAATAATAAAATTATAAAAGATAGTGGCTCTTTGAACTAACAATAAGTAAAAGGTAACTATAATAAAGGAGCATGTAAGCCAAATATAAATGACGTGTAAAAGTATATATTCAATAATTTATACGTGAAATTGTTATTATTTGAATTGTTATTAAAATAGCAATTTAAAAAAAAAGTTCGTTAACATATTCAAATGTTATTTAAGATAAATCAGTTACGTGTCATAAATTATATTAACGTATAAAATTACAATAGATTTTTTAATTTTGTTTTTCAAGTTGAAATTAAACTTATTAAACTCTTTAAAATTAATTAATAACGCGTTATACGTGCAAAATTTTGCATTGTCGGTGGAGTGATATCCAGTGATTTCTATTCGATTCCTCTCACAGCATCATATATAGAAAACAGTTTTTTCCGATCCAAGTAAACAGACCGTTGAATTTTAAGATTAACTGTGTACAGTAAACTATGATTATATTGTTTATAATTAATGACAAGAAACAAAAATACATTAGATCAGAAGACACGGTACTTATATGTTAAGGTGTTTAGGCGCTACGACAAGCGCAACGACATCATAATTTATAACGTGAAACGGACCTACTTTACCTACTTTACACGTTACCTACTTTACGCGAGGGTCTTGAATCGGATGAACCGAATTCTATGTATGCTCCATCGATAGCTTCCACTAGGATAATAAAAATTGTGCTCTCTTTGACTTGCCATCTAGTTGATTAATTCATTAATAGCAAAATAAAGAAAATTAGCTAGAGTTAATCGCTACTTTTCGAGAGAAACAGCAACAGGACAACTTGTAAGAAAGAAAGTGAAAGAGCTTTGTGCCGTAAGCCGTAAAGCCTATTTACACATTTGCAACTGGCATTGTTATGCAGTATTGTGTAATCAGTCGAGTTTTTGTCTTATGCTCAGTTATGTAAGTCACCGACAATAATACCGGTCTTTGTTACGTGAGTGCCAGCAGACGTTATCGTCAAGCACAATCACACATTATGCCGGATAGTGATAGTGAACATGCGAGAAATATATATAAAATAGTACTTTTATATATATATATATATATGTTTTTTCATTCATGCGAAATAGGAAGTAAAATAAACGATAATAAAATAGAACGATGTTCTGTCGATTGTACGTGCATGTAAATTATAGAAATGCAATTCATTTCCCGTATTTCTCGCATGTTTACTATCATTATCTGGCATAATATGTGATTGTGCTTATATATACACATATCTCAAAACATTGTATTATTGTATATGACATGTTAATTCAGGTGACAATTTAAGTCCGCTTAATTCATTCTTTATAAGTTCTTACAATACATTTTTTTCATTAAGTTGTTATTGTGTTGTTAGCATCATATATCATTAATTATTGAAATAACATTTATGAATAGAATTTTAGAATAGAAGGTTATTCCAATAAATAATAGTATGATAAATGTATAGAGTGAATGATAAATATCCTTTATCTTATTTGTTTGGATCGCGGCACGTGATCGTTAACAATACATTGCATTTGAAGAAAACTCTTTACCAAGAATTAGAATCTATAAATTAAAGTCACGTTGCATTTATATAAAGTGCAACTTCCAGAGTTGTAACTTTGTAACGATCATTTTTCTTAGAATTAGATCAAATTTAAATAAGAAAATTCCGATACATTTTATATGTACGAATATGAAACAATTTTATTTTACGTTTTCAATTTATTGTTTCATATAGAATCACTCTTTTCATCCACGATTTCTGGAACATCCTGCAATAAGTATTACAATAAGTGCTATGTATTTATTATATAATTATATATTATATATACATACATACATATGTATGTATAATATATTAGTATATTTTTGTTATTGAAATTTTTTCATTATTCTAGTATTATTAATAGAGTTGATAATAATTAATAGAGTTGTAAACGATAGGCAAACGTTCTTTATCACATTATTGATTCTATTCTACAATACATAAAGGCATTGGCAGCAGAAACGGCTGAAAGTATCAATTTATAATAGTTTATATATACCGCGCTACACGTTTCTGTCCACGTGAAATTAAATTTATTCAATGTCAGAATATCAGCCAGTTGATTAACCGCAATTTAAATACCGAGCTAATTATAGCGAATTCGATTGGATGTACTCAGTGCGCACTGGTATGTCTAATCAAATTCGTCATTAATACATTACATCTTGTTATGGTTATGTGTCTTCGAGATAACGTTAAAGTAAATCCGTTTCTTCCCATTTCGATACGTATAATTATTATATTCGTTATTACAGTCATTTTTGTGATATAATTAAATCAGCATATTATTAAAATTTTTTTGTTGATCTATTTAATATACACATATATACACGTATATATAATTTTCTCAGTTTACAAATTCTATATCTAGATTCAGATTTTAGATAATAAAATATTATCCTCCCTTTTAATTTGTGCTTATTTTTCATGATTTCCTTTTTTTTTTCTCTTCTCCTTCAACTACATATACACTCTCTCTAGCCGCAACTATATTACATTCAACCTCTAACTTTTCCTCTACCCACTCTTTTACCCATACCTCTCTTCTTCTCTGTCCCTTTTCCCTATCTTTTAATTCTTCCTCTACATTTATCCCTTTTATGACAAAGTTCAGTCTCCTTTCCTCTCTTCCGCTGTTTGTTACTCATCTTTTCAGTATATTGACCTCTCTATAACTCAGCCCTACCTTATTAATAACCGATCCTTGTATATGTACTGTACTTTCCTCTGCCACTTACCTCACTTCTAGCCTCTTCCTGTTCACTCTCTTCTCTTCTATTGCTCCCTGTTCTTTCCCTAACTCTCTCCCTCTGGCTGCTCAAATCTTTGATCTCCAACTCTCTGCCTTTCTCTGTCAATCCCCTTGCTCTAACCTCTGCCTCTCCCATTTGTTTCGCCCATTCTTCCTTCAGATTTTTGATTTCTCTTTCTATGCAGCTGTTCCCATACTTCCCTTTTTATCTCTCTAATTTCTCTTTCTGCCAACCCCGTATTTCCTTTCTCATATCTTCTATCCTCCTCTCCGCAATTTCTCGCAATTCTTTTTTCATCCTATCCACTTCACTTTTTTCCCTAGTATTCACGAATGCTACTTTTTTTCCCTCGGTTAACTTTTTTTGCCCCGCTTCCTGTTTCGCCTTGGCCCCTCTATTTAACCCCCCATTGGCCATGCCAACCGGCTCCTTTCCTGTCATATCCTCTTTCGCAGGCGCTCTCTCGCCTGCCTTCCATGCATTATTTATCGCCTACCTCTGCTTCCAATTTCTCGGCTTCTTTATTGCCCGCTCTCGTGAAATCGCACGCCCTGATCTGATTATCCGCATACTCGCCTATTATTCGCCTATTATTCTTTCTCACACACTCTCCGCAAAGTTTGCACTCGTATCCATGCCATCTAACCAAGTCCCAGATTTTAGCTAATAAATTTTAGCTAATAAATCCTAGAAAAAAATGAAATTTAGATATACATATCAATATGTAGAGTGTAATCATAGAATGTAAAAATAAATTTGTAACACATACACACACACACACACACACACACACACCTGTGTATCTTTTTTGTTGTTATGTGATCATCAAAATTAATTTCTTATTACTCCTTTAATGCACATAATGCAAGTGTTTGATTGAGGATCAAATAATACTGCCTGGGCACTGTATACATTGTATTTTCAAAAATACATTTTCTTTCAGGTACATCCACCCCTTGAATGGATCGGTAAATTCAGTGACCGAAATATAATTAGAGATTCAAGATCTGTATTGTAGAGAGAGAAAAAGAAAAAGAGAGAGAGAAGGAGAGAGAAGGAAAATTGATCGGAAAGGGAATGAGAGGAAGAGAATGCAGCGTTTCCAGAGTATTAAATTAAATACATATTTTTGGATATTCGGTTACGGGATCATCATTATCTGATTGCTATAATTATATCCGATATCGGAACCTTGCTATGAAATATTAAAAACTGCACGATCGCGTATGCGATGTAATTATAGTGAATAATCACAATAATATCATCAAAAAGAGTATCAATTGATGACTTGTAAGATATAAGATGAAAAGAAAGAGTTTATATTTAGTAATGAACAATTTTGAATTTAATCGAGAAAGAAAATATTAGATATATTATTATTGCGCTTCTTCTCAGTCCTTTTAATAATATACATACAACATCTAAAGCTGCTAAATGAAAGATTAATTTCAGGTATATATTTAAATATAAATATATTTAAATATTTAAATATAAATTACTTTTTTTTAAACGTTATTACCTATGTATTTCTCTTGTGTAATACGTAAAATAAAATATAATGTTACATTTATTTTTCTAAATTAAGCTGATTTGATCATTAACAAGATAAAATGTAATCATGAAAAAATCAGATATATCTCAAACAATGTATTTATTGTTATTATTCTTCTTTTCGAAATGTTTCTTTCGAAAAAACAGAACAGAAAACTGAACTCTCATCGTACCGTCGAACCTTGTTTGTATTTCCATTACCGCTGTGGAAATACTGTAAATTTCCATTACCGCTCTGCATGGCTCTATAACATATAGCTTTCCTTAATCCCCTCGACATCCTCGGCGGACCTCGGCTCGGCACCACACGGATCCTCAATTTCTCACGTGGACGGCGCGGTGCGACAGCGGACAGGGCATGCGCGTGTTCCCGCGTTCACCTGCGAGGGTATAAAAGATCGCGTGTCGAGCGCATCGGACTCAGTTTAATCTCGTGAGTAAGACACATAATCGTCTTGACGAGGAGAAGAAACGATCGAGTTATTTATCGATCGAAAAAGATAAATATAGCGTAATTGTGCTGTAATAAGCGGCGGAAATATAGTTTGGAATCGCGGAAAATATATTCGAGTAGAACAAGTGCTTTTTTGTGTACGAAGGTCTATCTCGATTTCGACTTTGAGACCCACTTCTACAGTCTTTCCAGTGGAAAGTACATGATATATAAACACATATACAAAATCTGCGCAATCTGCTGCGTCTGTCTAGTCCTTTGAGAGATATCTCATTGTTTTATGTGGCTAGAAATCTGTGTGATTTGAAATGACAGACACGAGTCAACTGTCAAATGACATGGAGGAGTCCGCGCAAGTGATCGATTTAACCGATGACCGACAGCAATATCACTATCATCATCATCATCACCATCATCATTATCATCGTTATCATCATCATCATCATCATCATCATCATCATCATCGAGGTAGAACACCACCCGTGGGTGAGATTGGTGACGACGAGTGCAGCACCGACAGTGGCTGCAGCAGCGGCGGAAGTATCGGAAGCGGCGAACGTCTATCGCGACGTGGTAGCGGTGAACGTTTATGCAGATCCAGTAGATCCTCTCCGAGAACGCATTGCTACCCAGAGCGGCTGCGAGGACGAACGACACGATCGCAGGAGCGGCTTAGCACTAGCGTGCAGAGATCGTCGGAGCGCATTTGGAGCCTTTCCGAAGACGTCAGGAGTCTACCTCGTGGTGGTACCTCACTCTCATCCTATTCCTCCAGTCCTTCGGATGCTCATAGCAGCAGCGATAGCGACTCCCTTAAGAGGCCCTCCACAGCGGAGACTCTACGACGGGCTTTTCAAAGTCTCAAGATTATCTCATCTAAATGGGATGCGGGAGATAGCAACAAGGGAAAGAAGCACGCGAAGAAGAGCCCGAAGAGGATTTTGCGTAGCCCGGTGTCCTATATATATGTCCGAGGACCATCCGGTCTACCTACTCAAAGGATTCCCCGAAACTCTGGTTTTCAGCAGAAAGCTATACAGCCACGCTCTTGCCAAGATCTTTAATCGATTACACACTTAATCCATTATATATCGCTGGGCGAATTTTTTTTTTTTTTTTTTTTTTGGAGTTTAAACGCGCAGGACCAAGATTCCTCTGTCACAGGAAATATTAAAGATTAAAATATTAAGGATAAAATGCGCAATCAAACGTCACTTTTTGATCGTCATGTTCGCGATAACGTATATTTCGTTATTACGTAGTATCGTCGATACGTTATCTTTACAAATGCCAAATTCACGTGCGGCATAAATAAATCATAAGGTATATCCTAAGCTTTTTTTGATTTTGTTTCTCCTTTTTTCACTCGATATTCTTACTTTTCGATTATATTTCACGTACGACTTGTTCGACTGTCGGGATATATTTTCCGAGACAGGCAAGGTTCTTCTCTTTTAAGTAGTATAAGTCAAGCGTAACGTCGACTCAAATGTGAATTCGCTCGAATCAGCGAAACGAATGACAAGAAAGGCAAAAAAAAGACAATTAATTACATATATAAAGAAAGATGACGTTAAATTAAATAGGTGCACAATTATTATATTAGCTGCAAATAATCCTTGATACCAGACACAGAAATTATTTGCATATTAATTACGAAATAGTAGTACTACGAAACGAAAAAAGATTATACATATGTATATATACACACATATATATATATATATA